AAAAAAAAAAAAAAAAAAAAAAAAAAGTTTGTTTTACATCAGTATTCATGATGGAACAGAAAGTACACTATTTGCAACTGTTTACACAATTGTTGAAATACTATAAATGTCAATTTCAACATACATGTGTGTGATGGATAAACAGCTTTTCAAAATGCTTTCAGGAGGTTTATACAAAACTTAACTCAAAAATGGGTCATAAACCCAAATGTAAGATGCCAAACTATAAACTTCTACAAGAAAACACAGAAGACAATCTAGGTTACTTCAGGTTTGTCGATGATTCCTTAAGTACAATTTGAAAAACATGACCCATGAAAGAAAAATGATAAATCCCATTGTAACAAAACTAAACACATGTATCCTGCAAATAACACCATTGAAAGAATAAGGGAACAAATCATAGGCTCGGGGGAAAAAAAATCTTTGCAATGTGATTATCTGACAAAAGACTGGTTATCCAAAATGTACAAAGAACTCTTTGAACTCAACAATAAGAAAACAAACAACCCGATTTTAAATATGAGCAAAAGATCTGAAAGATACCTCATGAAAGAAGAAAATACAAAACGCAAATAAGCATATGGAAAGATACTTAGTGGGCTGGGGCTGGGGCTCAGTGGTGGAGCACTTGCCTAGCATGTGTGAGGCACTGGGTTCAATCCTCAGCACCACATAAACATAAGTAAATAAAGGCCCATCAACACCAAAAAAAAAAAAAAAGAAGATACTTAGCATCAAAGTTTACCCAAGTGATGCATGACTCAGCAAGCAGGCCCGCACAAGGCCAGGTGCTCGGTGCATTCCTGTAATCCCAGCAATTCTGGAGGCTAAGGCAGGAGGATCATAAGTTCAAAGCCAGCCTCAGCAACTTAATGAGACCTTGTCTCCAAACATAAAAAGGACTAGGGGTGTGGAAGAGTGCCTCCGGCTTCAGTTCCCTGTACTGCAAAATAATAGTTCAGCCATAAATGTATGAAATTGCTGTCATAGAAACTTTTATGGGGCTGAGGTTGGGGCTCAGTAGTAGAGCACTCGCCTCACATGTGGAAGGCACTGGGTTGGATCCTCAGCACCACATAAAAGTAAAAGAAAGATATTGTGTCCATTTACCTCAGGCCCAGAAAGAATAGAACTAGCCAACCATGGGCTAAAACCTCTGAATCCATGAGTCCAAATCAGTCTTTTCTCCTCTAGGTTGATTTTCTGAAGTATTTTGTCACAGCAATGAAAAACCAACACATACCTGATTAGGAAATTGCAAACTGTAACTACAACAATATACTACTATGTACCTGCCCTATTAAAATGACTGAAATTTAAAAACCGGACAATACCTAATGCCAGCAAGAATGTGAAGCAACAGGAACACTTATTCATTACTGATGGGAATACAAAATGGTGTAGCCCCTGGGGAAGACAGTTGGCAGTTCCTAATGAAGCTAAACATATTCTTACCACATGATGCAGCAGTGATAGTCTGGCATTTACCATACAGATTTGAAAAAGTATGAGCACACAAAAACCAGCACGGAAATATTTACAGCAGCTTTACTAATAATTGGCAAAAACTGGAAGTGACCAAGGATGTCCTTCTGTGGCTGGCAGATAAAGTGGCACATCCAGATGAGAAATACTACTTGGTGGTAAAGAGGACAGAGCTAAGAAACTGCAGAGAAATGGATGAACCTTCCACTCATGATGCTAAGTTAAATAAGCCAATCTGAAAAGTTACATATTTTATGATTGCATGTATGTGACATTCCA